CATTTTTTATCCTGTCTTTGACATTTATTTGTAAAGACTGCATTAGTCAATTAAGAAACAATAAACAACCTAAAAAGATAAACTAATCCATTATGGTCTCAGGGCTCTAGAGGCATGTCTTACAGGCTTTAGTGTGCTTGCACACATGTGAATATTTTAGAATCATACATTGATTTTTCTTATCCTTTCTCTCTTAAATTCCCAGTCGCTGGCCCCACCTAAACCAAGAACTTGAGTTTGTAGACTGATGAGCTCTCAACTAAAAGCAAAGTCTTTTGCCAAGGAACAGAGTAGGATAACTAATCCAGAATTAAACAAAAGGGAATCAAAACCACAGTCTTTCTTTTAGTGACAGCACTCTAACCAGCTAGCTAACTGGGCCAGAACTTAAGTGGTTCGTTAATCTTAAAACCTGATGTCCTTTGAAACTAAACCAGCAGCCCACCATTCAGCTCTCATCTCACTCACAAATCCCGTCATCTAGTATTTATGTATCAAGAAAATCAGCTGGAACAGGAGAAATGGCTCCGCGGTTGACAGCGCTTGCTGCTGCTCCAAACACAAACACACACACATGCATACACAAACACATACAAACACAAATGCAAATAAAAAATTGACTCTAAGCCTGTTTAAAATAAAGCAAAATTAAAACCAAGGAAAGAAGGGACCATGAAAAAGCAGAAATCTCTTCTAAAGCGAAACATATAACACTTTCCTCCATAAGTTGATGCCCAAGATGGGTTCCATTTCTTGCTAAAGACTCTTTTGAGATCTTTTAGTGTCTGTAATTTGAGCTATTTATCTTTCTATTCCATTACTTCTATCTAATTGTCTTCAAATTTTGTCATCTTTCCTCATAAAATTCCCTAAATGCATTCATTTCACTAAAATCTTATATTTGCATATCTTTAGCATAACATGCCTTGAGCTATGACAACATTAACTGGTCTCCTTAGCTCCATCTCTTATGTATTCCAATACTACATGTCACAGTACCTGGAAGGAAAAACAGACAATTTAAGTTCTGCCATTAGCAGGTTTCTCACCAGCAAAAGCTTGTCCTTACCTATCAGAGGAAGTTGAAAATGCTATCTTATGAACATAGAAATGCAAGTATTTGGGGACAGCAAGAGAGCCAGGGGGAAGAGGGGGAATGAGAGAGCAAGGGGGGGTTAACAAAGTACATGATATGCACATGTGAAGATATTATAATTAGTATCTCTTATGCTAATATATAGAGAGGGCTTTCTCTATGCAGTCCTGGCTGTCCTGTAACTCACTATGTAGATCAGACTAACTTCAAACTCAGAGATAAAACTGCCTTTGCCTCCCAGTGCTGAGATTAAAGGCATGCAACACCACTTCAGGCATTTACAGTAATTTAAAATTAAATAAAAACAAAAATGCTCTATTGCTCCTCATCTGACAGCCACATCTGCTCCTCCCCGATAAACTAATCCCTCCCGCCACATTCCACCCTGTGAAGTAAACACTCAGTTACCTACTGCAAAGAATCTTTCCCTCTGACTCATCTACAATGCCCATTAAAACCTAAGTCAAGGACCAGATGTAAAACTAGCCTTCTCGTTCAACCTATTGACTAGAGCATGAGGGGTAGTATATAGCCCTCTTGTTCAACCTGTTGACTCCGGAGCATGAGGATTCTTCTATAGTCTTCTCGTTCAACCTGTTGACTCTCCCAGGGTCTATTCCCCTGATCTCGTACTTAATTTTAGTACTTATTGGAGTAGTTTCACATATTGGACCCTTAATCCCAACTAGATTATGAAGTCCTATTTTATTTTTATGTTTGTATGCTTGTGCATGAACATATGATGGGGTAGGAACATGCATGCTACTGCATGCACAGGGTGGTGAGAGAGCAACTGTGTGAAGTTGTTTCTCTCTTCCACCTTTATGTGGGCCCCTGGGATCAAACCTAGGGCACAAGGCTTGCACAACAAGGACTTTGCCCACAGAGTCATCTCATCCGCCCTGAACTGCAAACTCTTAAGGAGCAAGAATTTTGTTTCACCCATCTTGGACTTTCAACAAGATGCTGTGTTCTTTATAAACAACTGTATTTAATATTATCTTCTCAGAGCAATGAGTTGCATGAAAGTTCTAAAGAAACAGAAGACTAAGATATGATCCAAAGTAACAATGACAGAAGCTGGGGGTGACTCTTCTAATCAAATACATTTACAGAACTATGTTGAACATTTCCTTTTCCATAGTGTTTACAAATGTCTGTTCAACGAGGAACTAACTCAAATTTTAAAAGGTTTTTCTAAGCTTTACAACACCATCATACACTGGAACAAAACCTTAAATAAAAACTAAGGATATTTTTAAATAATTGAACTAAAATTCATTTTGAAATGACATATATACAAGTAAAGAGTGAATAAATGTACAAAATCATTTGTTCTAGCTTAATTTGATTTTAAATTAGTAAATTAAAGAAAAATTAGGCTTCTTAAGACACTGCCAAGAGGCCTTCAGTGTCAGGCAGGTCAGAAGCCCACCTGGTTGTCACCTTGCTGACATAAGCAGACTGGCCAGATAGAAAGAACATTTTGAAGTGAAATTCAAAACATAAGAAAAAGAAACTCAACTACAATAAACCTATTTATACACATTTCCTAATAAACATTCAGAAATGCTATGGCACTTGCAACAATATTCATTGCCAATTAAAATTTTGAATTAATATGATTCATGATAAGGGAATAGCTATTATCACTTTCAGTACATCTCTCCAATAACTACCAAAAAGTAATCCACAAGGACCAGACCTATCACCTAGATACATGAAGTGGACTAGGTAACATGAAGTCTCATTTTAAAATACTGGCTGATGGGGAATGTCTTTCTGTATGCTGTGAATATATGCTTCTCTTATTGGTGCATGAATAAAGCTGTTTTGACCAATGGACAGGCAGGATGTAGACAGGCAGGAAGTATAGGCAGGGCTACCAGACTGGGAGAATTCTGGAAAGAGGAACACAGAGAGTGAGTCACGAGAGAGATGCCAAGTAGCTGCTGAGGAAGAAAGGGGCTCAGGCATCACCAGTAAGCCAAGACTATGTGGCAATACACAGATTAATAGACATGGGTTAATAATTAAGAGAGAACTAGCCAATAAGAAGCCTGAACCATCGACCAAACAGTTTATAATTAATATAAGCCTCTGTGTGTTTATTTGGGACTAAACAGCTGCAGGACCATGTGGGACAGAAACTTCAGTCTACAACTGGCAACTAATTCAAATATTTCACAGTATTTCAAAGGCCCAACAAAATATGGCTACTGTCAGGATTTGGCCAACTTTCTCCCTTGCTCTATCAACAAAATGTTTTGAAAACTTACCAAATAATTATGAAAATGCTCTTTGGTTAGTGTTAGGATAAAATGAGTATAATTCTAATTTCTTATGTCTATGTGTATTTTGGCTTTCAATATAAACCAAATTCACAACTCTTCCATCTCCTCTATCTATGCTTCACCAGTCTGGTTGAGGGAAACTGCACCTTGACTCTCTCAGGGATGACCAAGCCCCTAACAGCTGGCTGCTCACAAAGCAATAGCAACATGTTTTGCTAAGGGGGAAAGCTTAGATACTAGCCAGACTTTTTTGCAGATTTTTAATATTCTTTGTTTTGTGTGTAGGTGACACTGCTTGGACACTTATTGGGGGATGGAGTGAGAAGACATAGCACCAACAATACAGCACTGGGAGTCAGCAAGTGGCAGAGCATGCTGCAGACTCATTTATTAAGGAAGTTAGGCCTGCCTTTATACCCCCTCCCAAGATCCCATTGGCTCAGGCGACTGACTGCTGCATTGTCCTTTCCTCATTGGTGTCTCCGGCCAGGTGTCTCTTCATCAGCAGTCTCTGGGCATAGAGGCAGGCTTGGTTCAGGGAGGAAGTGCCTGCCATGCATGCTCGTGGCTGGTGTGGGCACCTGGGCAGGGTGACTGCCGACTGCGTAGGCTGGCCTGCAGTTTCTCCTACATAGCCACCTTTTTTTTTTTAATGTGGTTTAGCAGGAGTTGAAGGATCTTCAAGCCTCATTGTCCCTGCCTCAGAGAGCATCCAGCATAATAGACCGTGCCTGTCTTAGGTTATCCTGCCTCACAGGTCCTTACCCATCACTGACTACCAGCCCTCGAAGGATGGCATCTCTGGAAGCACTGACCCGGCAAGAGGAATGTCTGTCAAACTTATGCCTCAGGAATTTCTGTGAGTCAGGCCTAAGAAACCAAGGAGGGCCACATTTTGGGTCTTGAAATACCATGAGAGCCTGGAGTGTGGAAATACACTGTAGGAAACACTTAAAGAGAATCATTAGTAATAATACAATATCCCCAATCAGAGCATAGGAAAAAGGGGATCAAACACAGGTCCAGGGTGTCACATTAGCAATTTGTGCAACATTAGCCATTAGGCCTCTGGTCCATTATCCTGAAGTATTGGTAGGTAGCAGGATGTCTTTCAACAACGGCTTGTCCCTGAGGCTGTAGCAGGATGGGGACAAAGGAAACAGAGGGGGTCACTTCTGAGCCGACCTCACACTTTCAAGCAAGAAAGAGCACACTCATCCAGAGGTCAGGCTCCCTCCTGTTTTTGGGAGAAATCCAAGGAGCCAACACCACGGCCTCATCCCACAAATCCTCCAGATCAGCAGTCTTAACCTTAAGGCACCTGGCAACCAATACTGATTTTAATGCCCTCACCTGAGGCTCCTTACGGTGGGATGGTAAGTTCCCCATTCTCTTAAATGCAGGATACATAGACAAGAACAAAGTCTAAAACAGACGAAGACAGACTCGAGCAAACACAGCAAGTGTGTCGGACCTAAGTGTAGTAGACGTTCCTACCTCATACACCAGGGCTACCAGACAGACACAAAGGAAAAGACAGAAAAGAAAGAGGGTCCCCGTGCTCACCTTCGAGAGGACCAAGGACATGAAACATGCAGGAGCCAACTCACCGGGCAAGTCACCAAAGAAGGGGCAGCAAAACGCGTCTAGAGCATGAAGAGGAGTCCAAATGGGTACTGACAGAGAAAGCAAAAGTGTACCAATGTAGGAGCCACTGATGCACCGCCTGCAACAAAAGGCAAAGACCAGGGCCAAAAGAACAGCCTCGGCAATGGAAAAAAGAGTACACCCTGATTCAAGCAGGGCCAAGACTCATGCCAGCACGGGATCCATGAGCCCCTTGTCTAGGCAGCGGATGTTGCAGGTTACCCTTCTCGGACACCCCTTGGGAGAGGGGGTGAGAAGACACAGCACCAAGGACTCAGGCACTGGGAGTCAGTGAGTAGCAGAGCGTGCTGCAAACTCATTTATTAAGGAAGTCAGACCTGCCTTTATACCCTCTCCCAAGATCCGATTGGCTCAGGCGGCTGACTCTGCTGTGTTGTCCTTTCCTCATTGGTGTCTGTGGGTCCGGTGTCTTTTTGTCAGCAGTCTCTGGGCATAGAGGCAGGCTTGGCTCAGGGAGGCATGCTCATGGCTGGCCTGGGCACCTGGGCAGGGTGACGGCAACCAATATTGATTTTAAGGCCCTCACCTGAGGCTCATTACAGTAGAATGGTAATCTGGCCTTTGAGTATCTCAATGATGATCAAGCCCCTAACTGTTGGCTGCTCACAAAGCAAAGGCACCATGTGATACCAAGGGCCACTTTTTGGGGAAAGGTTAAATCCTAGCCAGACTTTTTTTTGCAGATTTTTAATATTCTTTGTTTTGTTCTGTCTTGTGGTTCCAGGGATCTAGCCCAGAGCCCTGCACATGTTAGATGGGGTCTCTGCCATCTTGCCACATCCCCAGCTACTGACCAGATGGGTGTAAAGTGACTGTATATCACAGATTATTTCCTCTCTTTTCTTTTGCTCAAAGTTCATTAATTGATTCCAGTTTTATTCTTTTAGTCTACACTATTCCAGAACTCTTTCAAGATTCTGGAAAGTTAGGGGATACGTGCTGCAAGAATTAAATAAATGACATATTAAATAAACCTGAGGTAATTGAATGATCTTTTTTAAATGAGTCAAGTTTGCTCATACACACTTTTATGTTTTAATTGAACAAATATAAAAAATTATCCTGCATTTTTCAAGACCAGATTGAATAACAGTGAGTGTAAATTCACAGACCCGTCTGAAAAGAAAATGCAGAATTAAGCCAAATATGGTAACAAGTACCTTTAATACCAGCATTGGGAGGCAGAGGTAGATGCACCTGAGTCTGAGGCCAGTTTGATCTACATAGAGAAAACAAACACACAAAGCCCAGAAATAATGTTATCATGATTAAATTACCTATTGACATATATTTCAATAATTTCAGAATCACATATAATATCCAAAGAAGTACCAGATAAAACAGCAAAGTCCTTGGGGAAAAGGAACTTCTTTAGGAATGTAAGATGAATTATAAGTGCCATTTTGCACCAATTGACTTTAGTTCACCTTAACAAGAATATGTAGTCTCTGGACTAGGAAAAAAGACTGTGACTCTCACACTTCCACCAGCCACTCTACCAACAGATTGTACTGTCAGGTCAGCCTGTGCTCCAGCCAGCCAGCCCTCCACCCTCAGACATAAGCATTTTGTGAAGGTGGTAACATCAGATCTTGTGGTGGTTTGAAAGAAAATGGCCCCCAAAGGGAGTGATCTTGTTGGAGTAGGTGTGGTCTTGTTGGAGGAAGTGTGTCACTGTGGAGATGGACTTTGAGGTCTCTTTGTGCTCAGGCCACACCCAGTAAGTCAAACCACTTTCTGTTGCCTGCAAGTCAAGATGTAGAACACTCTGCTACTTCTCCAGCACCACGTCTGCCTGTGTGCCACCATGTCCCACCATGATGATAGTAGACTAAACCTCTGATAATGTAAGCCACCCCAATTCAATATTTTCCTTTATAAGAGTTGACATGGACATGGTGTCTCTTCACAGCAATAGAAACCCTAAGATAGATCCCAAACACTGAGCTTGTGTAGTAAGCACGGCCAAAAGAGAAGAGGCCAGAAGTAAAAGCAACTTACAACACACAAAGGAACAAGAAATCTCTGGAAAAGGCGAGGAAGGCACGGCACATGGACCATCTGCACAGACGCACAGCACATGGACCGTCTGCACAGACGCACAGACACATGGACCGTCTGCACAGACGCACAGACACGTGGACCATCTGCACAGACGCACAGACATGTGGACAGTCTGCACAGACACACAGACACGTGGACGGTCTGCACAGATGCACAGACACGTGGACCGTCTGCACAAAGGCACCTCCCTCCCCAGCAGATCAGAAACAGAAGTTAGATTCCAGATCTGATCAGTCTATGAGCTAACTCTCACCATTACAGATTTGGTTGTGACAACCAGACAAAAACTCTAAAGCCATGCCTCAAATGAATAAATACTTCTACTGAATAAAATTACTGTGTTTTCCAGTCTTTTGGGATAAGAAAAGAAAGCTTATAGTGGGAAACTGTTTCTGCTTCTGAGTAACAACTTTGTAGTCTGAGAATGTGTGGCAATATTCTCTCCTAAAGTCAGGAGGAAAGATGAGAAGTTAAAAACATTCCAGTTCGAGCCCCCTCTACACCCAGATCCAGCAGGGAGGTGCACCCATACTTTTCTTTGTGAGTCTACCCAGGCCCTCACTCTGTGCTGCCCCTATTATGTCCAGGCCCAGCCAAGAGCTATATTTGTACACTTGCTTGGTTACTGATGAATTGGAATCATCAAAGCCTTTCCAATAAAAAATTAACACTGAGGGGCTGCAGAGATGGCTCAGAGATTAAAAGCACTGACTGCTCTCCCAGAGGACCTGAGTTCAATTCCCAGCACCCACATATGGCTCACAGCCATATGTAATGAGATCTCGTGCCCTCTTCTGGTGTGCAGGCAGAACACTGTACAGATAATAAATAAATAAACCTTTTTTAAAAAAATTAACACTGAGTATTTGAAGGACTGACACACAGACACCTCCTCTATGAACTCAAATCAACAAAACGAGGCAACAGCAAAAATAGAACCAACTTTCCATTCAACAGAGGCAGGATAGAATCTTATATCAGACACATCCCCAATTAAATAAATTCATCACAAAACACAAACAATATGAAAAGCCAAGATAATTTGTCTCCCCCTAAGACCTCTAGTCCTATAGAAATGTTCCTTAGTGAGAATTTCAAGATAAAAAATCTAAAAGAACATTATATAATGATCAAATAATTCGATGAGTTTAGGGAGAACATGAAAAATACCTGAATAATCTTTAAAAAGACAATAATAAATCCCAAGTTGAGCTTAAAGGGCACAAACAAATAGCCCAATGAAATCATGAAGACAATTCAAGATTTGAAAAGTGAAAGAATGGAAAAAATTCCAAGTAAATTGTACAAGGAAGCAAATGATACCACCGTCTTAATATCTGACATAATATACTTCAAACCAAAATGAACCAGAAGAAATAAAGAAATAAATCAAGGGACCAACTAACCAAGAAGACATTAGAACCCTAAACATATACTCACCAATTTCATAAAAAGCCTGCCGTTGGCCTTCAAACCATAGACTAACCCCAATTCAATAATAGTAGGTGAAAAGTACTCCCTTCCTCAAACTGGTGGTTTGTCTAAACAAAAAATAGACAGACAAGCAACAGAATTAGACATATATCAAATGAACCTAACAGATATGTTCAGAATATTAAACACCCAAGAAAATACATTCTCAGCAGCCCATGAAAGTTTCTTTAAAATAGATCACATATTGAGGTACAAAATGAACCTCAACAAATGTAGAAATATTAAATAACTCCATGTATCCTATCTGATCACAAAACAGTAATACTTGAAATCAATAGCAGTTCAAAGAATATATCAAAAATTCCTGGAAATAAATGAAAATGAAAACAGAACATACTAAATCTCTCTGAGATGCATCAAAATTAGTCCTAAGTATAGTTACAGCTCTACATGCCTACATTTTTAAAAAAATCAGAATGAGCACAAATAAACAACTTGATGATGCACCTCAAAATTTAAAAAAATAAGAGTAAAGCAAACTCAAATCTAGCCTCCCTGGGGGAATGAGGGGTAACGGGGGGGGGGGGGGGTTGAGGGGAGGGCACGGGAGGAGGGGAGGGAAAGGGAGAGGGACCTGGAACTGACTTGTGAAGCAACCTTGTTTCTTATCTAAATTTAAACTGGAAAATAAAAAAAATAAAAAATAAATAAATAAAATAAAAAAACAAAATGTCCTCCCAAAAAACAATATAGGCTATTGTCATTGTCCTTGGTTACCTCTCAGAACTTGCAGATAAGACTCTATTCCTGAAAACACCACACACTTCAGAGAAGTCAAGCTTGTATTAATCTATAAGCCTCCCTGAGGACTAATTCTCATAGTATCAGAATGGGTCATAAAAGTGGCCAAGGGAGATAAAGTACCAACAATCCTACACAACTGTAAAGTCCATGAACAACTGGTATACTTGAAAGATATTCCCAAAGGTGCAACATTGACACTTAGGACTTGAGGATAACTAATAGCTGCCTAATTAGACTCAATAGGAAGGAACTCATATCTGGTTCTGTAAACCATAGCTGGAAAAATCATGGGCCCTAAATCAGAATCTACTACTGCCATTTTGCTGAATACATACAGTTTCCAGCTGTATTCTAAGTACTTCTTCTTATGCCCATAGATATGAGGCTCTGATGCCTCATCAAAGAACTTCATTTTTCAGGAGAAATAGGCTATTACAGAAATCTACACGTGGTCAAAATGCGGAAACCTGTTTGGGACATCTACAGCAAACCCCTACCCCTAAGACTCAGCGAACATCACAGAAGATAGAGCAGAAAGATTGTAAGAGCCAGGGCACCAGGATGATTGCAGCAAGAGAGTTTTCTAGACATGATTGGATGCTATGCCATGAACTCTCAACAGTATGGTTGCCAAACAGGACCATACCATTCACCATGCCAACATAGATGAGGAAAATTGGAAAAGGCCCCAATCCTAAATGAATAGTTACAGGCAGTCAGTAACTGCTGAGGGAGGAAGACTCCATTATTCATGGATGAGTCCTCTCATAGGTTTCTCAATATAGATGGTCTCAACAATGAGTATTTTTAGGTATAATTTAACAACACTATTTTAAATCCAGCAGTATCAGAAGCATAATTATCAGAGACAAGTAGGTGGAAACCATACAGAAACTGAATTTCAAGTCAATACACTTATCTCTACAAGTTGATAGTGATATGCAGGTGCATGGCTGAGATCCACATGGGGGTCACTGTCAGGTCCTGGC